GACAAAACTATAGAGAGTTTCTAGGTACTGAGGAAAACTTAAAATATTTATATACACATTAGTAGCATTGCAAAAAGTCATTAAGAATAAGTAACATACTTGCAGTACTCCTTTTTCTGAACGTGTGTATAGGATATTTCGCGAGTTGTCAATGGCAATTTGAACTACAGGATCTTGGGAGGGGGAAAAGAAAAAGGAGAAGTAGCAAATTAACAATGGAAGCAGTGAAAACAAGTTTAAGTCAGAGTATCACTAAAATAAATAACTGGAAGTCAACAATAAAATGCAGGAGCCCCAGACAACTCTTAGGGGAAATGATATAAAAGAGCAAACAATTTCACAAAACTATTAGTAAACTAAAAGAAAATTGAACAAAAAAAAAGTGTAATTATTTCAAGTTTACATTAAATTATTGGGTAAGTCTTTTGTATCGGTACTTACCATCCTCTGAGAACGTGAACTGTAGCAACGAAGGAATAAGGAAAGACAGTGTGCTCTTTGAATGATTAATTTTTCTACATCGCTGGCTAAACCAACCTGCCTCAGCCTACAATTTAAAACAGACACATCGTTGAAAAAAAAAGCAAAACAAAAACCAAGCTGAACTATTAGTTAAACAAAAAAAAGTCATTAACAGTACAATTATGAAAACAAGTAAAAATCTAAATGCCTGCATGTAACCCATAATTACCTGGTAAGCTACTTCATATAAGCAGCCATCCTTTCCAGCCAAAAAGATACGTCCATTATCAGTGGATGTTATTGCCAGAATGTAAGTATTGTCAGTAGGGAGTGAATAGAGAGGGTCTGGTAGCAGCTGCATTCCTCCAGACATACTGTCATTGAGTGACCCAGTACCTTAAATTAACAAAAATAAAACTCTTCAGTTTTTAAGCTCTAGAAACGTTATAGATTTATAAACATTATTGGCTTGTGATTAGAAGCATTTCAGAAAACATGAAAAATTACAGGAGATTTTATAGTTACTAAAACAGACCTGGAAAAGCTATTCTTGTAAGTGAACTGCAGAGTAATCCATCTTCTGTTTTTTTAAGAAATAAAGCAAATACACTCTATAGATTTCAAAGTATGGAAGTACAATATTTCTATAATGTTTTTGTACATTTGTCGTATTTTCTGAGAGTTGTATTCTTCTCTAAATCCCAACAATTCTAAAACTAATTTCTGCATTTCTCTTTCACACCATGATAATATAAAAAGAGAACAAAATGATTGCAACCCTCTTTTTTTTTTTTTTTTTTTTAACAATTCTGTATTGTTTCCTCTTAATATATATGGAATGAAAAACTTGGTATCAGGTTCTTGTTTTCTGGGATTAGAATATAAATGCCACCCAGGTTAAAAAACTGCATTCATCATCTGTTATCTAGATTCATGTCCATCTTTTCCTTCCCTCTTGAACATGTGGTTTAATTAACAGGAGTGTCTGTTTCAAAAGTTCTTTTCATGTTAAACAAGTGAATAATATTACTCAACCCTCCTATGGGAGTCCTGGATACAACATGTGCACACCCTAAGAAAAGGGAAACATTTTACCACATTTTGAACATGATTTAAAAATTAGCAAATGTTCTTGTTTTCTTTCTTTCCTTTTTTTTTTTTTTTTAAACTAGCTATTAATGAAATAACCATTGTGTATTTATAGAGTTGTTAATTCACAACTGAGAATACTACCCTAATACATGTATGTTCTTTAATTCACCTGGAAGAGAAATGTAAGAGAAAAAAAGAGAGAACTACCTGCTTGTATATTAGAGCAACTGAGCCCTAAAATCACAATATCCACAGGAGTTGCCAAAACAAGTAAGTGTCGTACATGAGGCTGGAATATACCTAAAGTGCGAAAGAAAATTAGATTTTAGTTTGCAGTCAACTCTCAGACTCACAACGACTCACAACGACTGTACCCACTGTATTCATAATGTTGATACAGCGAATGGTAAGAGGGAACAGTCATATTTAAGACTTAAGAATCTGTGAAACTCTAGAATTACAAAACAGTATCAGTCAGCAGTTCAGTTTCCAGTTCATGTAATAGAAGAACTTAAAAATGGCATTTTATTCTTTTTTTTTTTATTTTTATTTTACATTCAATCTTACTACCATTGTAACTTTGACTTTGGTATTATCTAAGCAGTAGCTATGTAAAGAACTGCATGTGTTAGAAACCAGTATCTCAAGAAAGTTGTCAGTGGAATGGGACAACTTATAAGCAGTACAAATGTTAAGAGTATGATCTAAGTATGAGCTTGCAAAAAACACAGGCTCAGAGTAAATGACTGTTAAGCTAAACATTATCTTTAGCTTGTAATTTAATTTTGTGATGTTTCTAAAACCAAACCTAAACATTTATCTTGCATATATAGATGCAAAACACATATTTTTACACACACAGACATAAAAAACATGTACAGAAAATTCATTAGCTGTCCAGTCATGATCACTCCTTACCTCCCTTTGGTTTTACAAGACCCACAGCAAGGATAGTTTCACTGAGGCCATCAAAATAAGCTAGATCTCCCCTGTCAACAAACAAGGAAAAAATCTGCTAAGACTTGTTACGTAGTATCACATAATTACAAAATAAAACAAAGTCAGGTTGTGTATATTTAAATATTATTAATAGTTATTGTAATACTGTGAATATGTGCTATAACATGCTGAAGGCATCTACACCATTTGATTTGGGTGAAAACAGGTCCACTGAATGGAATGACAGAAAAACTGAAGCCAAGTGGTAGTATTTTATACTTTTAGATTTTGTTAATTCATGCATTCTACTCTGAATTGCACGAAGTATCACCTACAACGTCAATTAACGTCTAGAGGAAGGAACATACACTTTTTTCTCATAAAGAAACATATAACACAAAAATAAAAAAATTCTACCTCCTCCATGGTACCTTACCTTTAGCACCATGCATAGTAGTGTTATCTGGTGAATGTATTTAATATATTTTAAACTTTGTGACACAATGTAAATGTATAGAGGAGCTACATGAGGAGCAATCTTAACTTTAATCTTAAGAAATTCAACAAATACCATAAAACAATTCATACGAGAATTCTTACAAAAAATATAATTCTTAAAAAAGCAGAATTAGACAAATAAGGAAACAAACATGGGAATTATAAACTGCCATTTGAAAAGATGCTGAAATTATTTTCAGTGTTATACTTCTATTAGAGAGGAAAGCTTCAATCACAATACTTCAAAAACAGTTAGAGGATATAGCCAAGGTACTAAGGTCACATAATTTATCATTGTGGAAATGACTGGCTGCTGTATGTGTATTAGTGTACTTACCAAATCTACTTAGGTTAGTTAGGCAATTGGTGTATAATTATACTTTTCTGGGGCATAATAAAAACCCTAGCCATAACACAGCAATAACTTTAGGACATTAGCTATGTCAAACCCTAAGCAAATACATTTTCTCTTGTTTCATCTCTACATGATTTGGGAGCACTATTACTAACTCTTGAAACTCCTTAAACACTTATTAGTTAATACTTTTAGTAAAACCTAAAATGAATTAAGACAACTTTATCTGAATAGCATTCCTCTGTGCTACAAGCAAACAATTTCCAACTGCTATGATTACTTAATTCCAACATAATACCATCAGTAATGTGTTCTGTACGTACCCATCTTCATAGTTCCACATAAAAATGTCACTGTCAATGGTTAGCCACGCTCTGCTGATCTCTGGAAATACTCCCATCATACAATTGCATTGCATATCTGAAGCATTGCTGATGTAAGGACTAAATGCATTTTGACAAGCAAAGGCAAAATCTCCCTTGAACATTTAAAAAAATTACTGCTTTACATACAGAAGCACACAAACTACATAGCATAAACATTTGAAGTTCCTCACACAGGAACTAATTCCACCAGCACCCCTATACAAACTGACTTTATTGCGACTTTATTAGACCCTTAAAAATGGAACATAAACAACACCAAGGTTCATTTCTAGGAGTTTGACAAAACTACTGGGGAAAAATAATTGTGAGAGCATAAGTGTGTTTCTATTATTATTACACACTCAACCTAACATGTTATTTTTCATCAGGATACGTCCAAACTGCTCCACTAGCTCCGGAGGAAGCGGCACTCTGCGGACGGAGCTGATCTCTGGAAGGTTAGGTATTGACAGCAGACCCGGACCTTGCAAAGGATAGTCCATATCTGTCATACCAGAAACGGTAGGGCTACCTGCAATTAAGAACAACAGCACGGAAAAAAGTTAGACTTCTTATAACGAATTAGTTGCTTAAGGAAAAAAAAAATAAATAAATCTCTATCTTTTCATGATTTTTTCCCAGCTCCGTGAAAATAGAGCTGAAAATAGAGCTGCAAACAATCCCTCAGGACAAGCCATTCCACCCTCAGCCTACTCTTTACCCCATTTCCTCCATGGGACTCTGTAGCCCTGTTTCCACTGTGTGGCGAGGCATACAGGGGAAACCCCCCTCTCCACAGCCCCCCGGGCAGCCGCAGGGAGCACAAAAGGCGTGTTTGGGAAGCGCCAAACCAACCACACGTGGCGCAGCGCTCCCAAAAAGCGGCAGCATTTCGGGGCAGCCCTTCGCAGCTCCCCATGCTGGGCGCCCTGCGGCCCCGCAGCACGGAGCTGACCGCGGAGACAACCCCGGGCTCGCCCCCCCACCCTCCCGGGGCCCCTCACCGGGCGCGGGCACGGCCAGCAGCTCGGACAGGTCCGGGTAGCAGCGGTCGTCCTGGATCTGCCGGTCGATGATGCGGCCCGCGGCCTCCAGCGCCTCCTGCGCGGCGGGCGCGGCGGGGCTCATGGCAGCGGGCATGGCCGGGCCGGGCCGGGCGGCACCGGGACCGCGACCGGGACCGGGACGGGGACCGGGAGCGGGAGCGGGACCCGCAGCAGGGAACCGGCAGCGGCAGCCACCCGCCCGCCTCTCCGCGCCAAATCCCGGCGGTCCCCGCGCTGCTGACGCCGTTCCGCCGGGCGGGGACAGCGGGGGAGAAGGGGCAGGAGGAGGCGGCCCCGGCCCCGCCGTTTCCTCCCCGCGCTGTTGTGGTTCCGGGCCGGCCGCGGCATGGAGCCGCCGGAGGGTGGTGAGCAGCGGCACCGCGACCACCACCCGGACCCGGACCCGGACCCGGACCGGGACCCTCTGCTGAGCACTTTTATCATCCTCCCTCTTTCTCTTTGCAGACACCGAGATGCTGGCGGGACCCGACCCGGAGCTGGCGGCCACCATGGGCTTCTCCGGCTTCGGTGAGCCCCGAGGAGCTTCTAGGGACGGCTGGGGGTCCCGCCGGGTCCCCCGGGTGTGCTGTGGGCTGTGGGGGGCTGGCGGTGCTGGAGTGTTGTTCCCCCCCCCCCCCCCCCAAGCTTTGGGATCCCTCCCTGCAGCAGCCTGTCAGTCTCAGTCAGTCTCCTTCTTAACCCTTTTTCCATGTTTTTAGGGAAGAAAGCTCGCACTTTTGATCTCGAAGCCATGTTCGAGCAGACAAGAAGGACGGCCGTGGAAAGGAGCAGGAAGGTCTTGGGTAAGGAATTGGGGGGTGCTGACGCTTTAGCGCATCCTAAAATGCGTTTTGCTTTTTTTTTGTGCGTTGGGGTGATGAGCGAGGTGACTCTGACTGGCTACTTAGAAAACAAATAAGTGTGGTTTTGCTGCAAAAGGACAGCCCTAAATCATTTGGGGATTGGTAAGCAGGCAAGTTACTAACTTACATGTGTTGTCAGAGCATGCAGGAGATCTGCCTGTGCCAGGTTCCTGTTGTGTGGCATGGGACACGGACACAGCAAAAAGCTGAATTCACGTTAAAGACTCTTTTATTTTAAATATTGGATGTTCCCTTCCAAAATTCAAACAAAACTTGCTACAAAGAGCTTTAATCTAAGGAGCACACAATAAAAAATGAAATGTGTCCTATGACATACAGTGGGTTATATAACAGCCTGCAAGTGTTTCTGTCTTCTGTTGTGCTGGTAATGTAGGGGGGGTTTCAAGGTGGTGGCTTGAGAGTGAATAATGATGGAAATTGCATGTTTTGCTGCCCATATCCAAGCAAAAAAACATTCAAAAGATGGTCCTTAGGGAGACACTTGTGTTTGTGGTGTTTTGTTTTTTTTTTACTGTATGGGCTGCTGCAGGGAAAGGTAACTCCATCCCTGTCAGACCTGGCACAACCTAGTGTAGTGTATTAGAACTCCCTTTGCCAACACAAATGCTTATGTTTTCTCCTTCCACTTGGACAGCATGTCCAAAAAACTGATACCATTGTGGTTGAGCAGCTTTTGTCCTAAGTTAGGTTTAATTTGTTTTCTGAACTATTGCAGTTTGTGAAAACTGTAGACTTGAAGCCTCTTATTAAGAGAATGCAATTTTGTAAGACAGAATAAGATCAATGCAATGTTCGGTTTTATCTTTTTTGATTCTATGCAGAATCATGCGAATAGACCACTTTGGAGGCTTGTTGACTTTATGGATGTTAAAACACCCTGAAATTCAAATATACAAGATTTCCAGAACTTGATTTGAACCCTTTTTTGAACTGACTAAATTTAAGCATAGTAAAACCTCTTCTGTGTTGAAAGTGTTTTCAGCTGCAATACTCTTTCATGTCAAGCTATCGTTTCATCTTGGAGATCACCTAATTAAACCATGCTTTAGATCAGGAGGAATATTCAGTAAGTGTGATGTTTTTAAGTTAAGACATCTTGAAGTGCGTTTGGAACTCTTGCCCCCCTTCCCACCATCCAAACTAGTTTCTAGGATCTAACCCGTAAAGGAAACACAACATATTATTCATTACAAAATTAGTCATTTTATCAAAAAATGACAAAGCTTTATATGTAATTCAGCTTTTTTTTTTTTTTTTTGTAATCTGAGCATTTTCAAATTTCTTAAAATACACTGTTGACTTTTAACTATAGTAATAATTATAGGAATGTGTAATAATTATAGGAGTAATTAAGATCTGGGGAACTACAGGCCAGTCAGTGTCACCTCTGTGCCTGGCAAGATCATGGAGCAGATCCACCTGGAAACTGCTAAGGTGCATGGAAAATGAGGAGGTGACTGGTGACAGCCAACATGGGTTCACTAAGCGTAGATTGTCCCTGACAAACCTGGTGGCCTTTTCCTTTGGGATTACAGCTTTGGTGGATAGGGGAAGAGCAATTGATGTCAGCTACTTGGACTTGTGCAAAGCAGTAGACACTGTCCCACACAATATCCTTGTCTCTAAATTGGAGAGACATGGTTTTGATGGATGGACTATTTGGTGTGTAAGAGCTGTGGTCAACAACTCAGTGTCCGTGCGGAGATGAGTAACAAGTGGTGTTCCTCAGGAGTCAATATTGGAACTGGCATTGTTTAATGTCTTTGTTGGTGACATGGACGTTGGGATTGAGTGCACCCTCAGCAAGTTGCCAATGACACCAAGCTGTGTAGTGCAGTCAACATGCTGGAGGGAAAGGGATGCCAACCAGAGGGACCCGGGCAGACTTGAGACGGGCCCATGTGAACCAGGTCCTGCACCTGGGCCGGGGCAATCCCAAGCACAAGGACAGGCTGGCTAGAGAATGGATTGAAGGCAGCTCTGAGGAGAAGGAACTGGGTGTGTTGATTGATGAGAAACTTAACATCAGCCAGCAATGTGTGCGTGCAGCCCAGAAAGCCAACTGTGTCCTTGGCCGCATCAAAAGTAGCGTGGCCAGTAGGTTGAGGGAGATGATTCTTCGCATCCACTCCGCTCTTGTGAGACAGCAGCTGGAGTCCTGAACCCAGCTAAGGGACCTCCAACATAAGCACATGGACCTGTTGAATGAGCCCAGAAGAGGGCCATGAAGACGATCAAAGGTCTGGAGCACCTTTGTTGTGAAGACAGGCTGAGGGAGTTGGGGTTGCTCATCCTGGGGAAGAGAAAGGGAGACCTCACTGCAGCCTTTCCATACTTAAAGGGGTCCTAGAGGAAAGCAGGATAGGGACTCTTTGTCAGGGAGTGGAGTGCTATGACAAGGAGTAATGGCTTTAAACTAAAAGAGAGTAGATTTAGATTAGATATTAGGAAAAAAAAATATTTCCTGTGAGGGTGGTGAGGCACTGGAATGAAGAAGAAGCAGTAGATGCCCAATTGCTGGAGGTTTTCAAGGCCAGGTTGGATGGGGTCCTGGGCAACCTGGTCTAGCAGGTGACATCCCTTTCCCTGGCGGGGGGGGGGGGGGGGCAAGAGGGTTGGAATTAGATAATCTTTAAGGTCCCTTCCAACCCAAACTTTTCTATTCTGTCACTTTATATAGATCTGAAAATGAAGAAAGTTGTTTTACTGTCCTCAGCAGGCCTCTAATTGTATCTGTTTTAAAAAAATCTTGATTATTTGTCACTTATGTGTTCTTCATATTCAGAGGCTCGAGAAAGAGAAAAGGAAGAACAGGCTGAAAAAGAACTTAAAAGTCGACACACTGATTCATCGGCTTCAGCCTCAAGTGCAACAGGAGTTGGGTCCACATTAAAACCAAGGTACTTAATTATGGTGGGAGGTATCATTTAACTTTTTTTTTAGCTGAAGGGGCTTTTTTTGGTTGGGGTGTTTTTTTTTTTTTGGTGGAGTTGGGGTGAGGGTGAAGAGTGGGTGGGGGAATGATAATTGCTTAACTTATGTGAACATGCCTATGTTATCTGACGTCTTAGAGTGGAAATGCTGTTATTAATCTGTACTTTCTTGGATGTGTCAGTATTTGTAAATATTGCAACTGTATATATTTAATAGTTAATTTTAATAGTTACTTAATACATAACCTTGTTTGGCATGCTTTAAAAAAAACACAGCAATATTATCTGTATATTTTTTGAAAATACATCGTCAAATATAGAGCATACAGGGGCTGACTTTATTGGATATATAGGATATACTTGTTCAAGCCTACTAAAGAATAGCATAGTTAGGTAGAGAGACTAAGTGTACACACTGTATGGAGTAGTGGTAGGACTGCATAAATACTCTGATTTGAAATTTACTCCACAACTTTTTGAAGTTTGCATGTCATTGACAAATAGCAGATGTTACTGCTTTGACTATTTGTATTCTTCAATGCTGCAAAACCCAAAGTAGCAATATGTAACAGAGGCCACATCACTCCTTTGAGTTTGTTGACATCAATATACTGTAAATTTGTAGGGTTTTCTATCTACAGAAGTCTTATAACCCATATACTACTCTGGTACACTCTTTGTGTGTCTGCTAGGCTGATTGTTTGTGGTGGGTTTTTACAGACAAGCCTGCAGCATTGCAGACTGAGCAAATTTCTTTGCCTGTTATTTGTGGAAAGCACAAATGAGCTGTGGACTCACACTGAAATAACGGGTCACACAACATACTTCCCTATAGATCTCTATTATATCTTACATAGGAGGGAAAAGTATGTGCTATGTGCTCCTATTCAGTTTTGATGCTCTTCCTAGTGAAACAATAGAGACTGACAAGTATCAGATTGTGTACTTAGTATACATGGGTGACTTCAATGTAAGGATTCAATTAAAACAAATAGTAGGCAGATGATACAGAGTGTTTTCTGTTTAACTAAGGGATTTGAGAGGAGTACTCTAAGCTCTTTGGATAAAGGAAAGTAATAATTATCTATCACCATTATGAGTTACAAAGTAGGCTCTGGTAACTCACCAGGGTCCTGTTTATAATAAGTTTTTGTTGTTGCTGTTTTTTTAACTGAGGACTGGCATGAAAAACTCCCAGAACTGGAAGGTGAATGTGTTAACTTGCAGTATTATATTTCCTTGTAAATTGTGGTACTCAGTTTAGAACTTAGTGCTTAAAACAGAAAGCTAGTGAAGGAGACACACCATTGTGCCTCAGCCTAAATTCAGTGGGATAATCCTTCAACTGACAGTTGAAATCTGAATTACAGGACTCAAGGGTTTTTTATGATGTAGATTTTAGTTACTAAAATTGAATGTACAGCTTATTCTTTTTCTCTGAAAATGGCAACACTATTTTTTTTTCTTTAAATTCCATGTATATTTATCTATCATAGTAGCTCTCATACTAATTTTACAATTGTTAGCAAGGGGTTATTTAATACAAAATGGTGTGATTCTAGTGATTCTTTTTGCTTTTTGAATTAATTTGCTAGAGAGAAATGATTGCAATAGTTATAGTATTTACACATGTATGCATAAGGACAATAGTAATTACACTTTGTCAGAGAAAAGCACAGAGTCATAGAATGGTTTGGATTGGAAGGGACTGTAAAGATCACCTGGTCTCAGCCCTCCTGCCATGGGCAGGGACACCTCCCACCAGACCAGGTTGCTCAAAGCCTCATCCAACCGGTTCTTGAGCACTTCCAGGGATGAAACATCCACAGTATCCACAATTAAAAAATGCTAGTATATAAAAAATAAAAAGTCTAAGAAATTAAAGTAGATGATGTGAGGAGAGTTAACACATGGTGGGGGGGAGGGACAGGGAAATGCCCACATACTTACACAACTCTCTGAATGTTTTTCGTTATTTTCAGTCTGTGTGCCATCTGTACTCTAATCCAGCTTTCTATTTTCCTCTTAACAGCATGTTTTACTTATTGAGGAGGTAATGAGGGAAAGCAAAAAATAGTTCCTTATATGCCTCTGAATTGTGGGAAAGGGGTTGCTTTAACAGCATCTGGTAGAGGAAGACTGTATGGCTGAAAGTTGAAACAAGTGCCATGATACATCTGCTCTCTTGTTTTGTCATTTCTGCCAGCACCCCCTGTCACTGTCTGACGAATGTTACTCAGCTAGACAGGCTTTTGGCCTGGCTGTGTTGGGCTGTTCGTGTGTTTGACTGCCTTTCCTGTTGGAACAGAGTAAAACAGCAGCTGTAGCTGGAATCCTTGGATATGTCTGCCAAGCTTGGAGTGTGGTGAAAAACAGCACTGAATTTCTGATCATTTAATATGAAGAATAATTGCATAGCCCCTCAAAATGCTGAAGTGTTTGAATGTATTGATTCTGCCTAGTAAATAAGGAAACTATATGTTTAGGGAATTAGGGTGGAAACTAGGTATTGTTCTTGAGTGTCTGTAGAAGGATCTAAAAGTCTGTGACTCTGGGATTGGAAGGGCCTCCTTCAGTCACTGCATTGTATACGCTCTTACTGGCGGCTACATGGTATGTTTCGTTCCATTCCAAACTAACTCATTTTTTGGGCTTTTAGGGAAAAGCTATGTGGTTTACTAGTCTGGGAACATGTGTCAGTTTTTTCAGATCAACTCGGTCACACACAGGGTGGTAAGGCCTTGCAGAGAGATCTGGACAAATCAGAGAGCTGGGCAATCACCAACAGTGTGACAGTGCTGGATTCTGCATCTGGGAAGGAGTGACCCTGGCTGTACATACAGACCAGGGGGTGCGAGGCTGAAAGGGATCTTGGTGTTCCCATCAACCTCAAGTTAAACATGAGTCACCAGTGTGCCCTGGCAGCCAGGAGGGCCAACCATGCCCTGGGGTGCATCAGGCATGGCACTGCTAGCTGGTCGAGGGAAGACTGCTCTGTGCTGGTGTGGCCTCACCTCCAGTACTGTGTGCATCCTTGGGTGCCACTGTATAAGAAAGAGATAAAACTGTTAGAGAGTGCCCAAAGGAGAGCTACAAAGATGGTGAAGGGCCCAGAGGGCAAGATGTATGAGGAGCAGCTGAGGTCCCTTGGTTTGTTCAGCCAGAGCAGAGCAGGCTGAGGGGAGGCCTCATGGCAGCCTGCAGCTCCCTCACGAGGGGAGCGGAGGGGCAGGCGCTGAGCTCTGCTCTCTGGGGACAGCGACAGGACCCGAGGGAACGGCATGGAGCTGGGACAGGGGAGGGTCAGGCTGGGGGTTAGGGAAAGGTTCTGCACCCAGGGGGTGGTCAGGCACTGGGACAGGCTGCCCAGGGCAGTGGGCACAGCACTGAGCTGCCAGAGTTCAGGAAACATTTGGACAACACTCTCAGACATAGGGTCTGATTTTTTGGGTGGTCCTTTGGGGACCCAGCAGTTGGACTTGATGATCCTTGTTGGGCCTCTTACAACTTGGATATTCTGTGTTTCGATCTTATAAAATAGTCAATTTTGGTGATACTGATCTTGAAGAATTTTGAAGGACCCAGCTGTGTTCCTCTTACGGTAAAAGGACATTGATTGTCCCATTGCTATAGAGTGAAAGAAGCTCATTTTATTTGAGTTAGATTTATTGTGCGGTCATATCCTGACCTGGGTCTTTAAATGTCTCTCATCACTATGCAAAACAAAGTTTGTATGTAGATGTAATATCTTTTATTAGGCTAGTAAATATAGTTGGAAAAATTAGACAAGCTTTCAGGCATGCAAGCCCTTCTCATCACTGTGACATCTGAGGACCTAATTCACGTTGGTTTTAGTTTGTTTTGATTTCTTCCTAAAATAGAATTCCATTTGCTTATCCAAGACAAATATTTGCTGTATAGCCTATTACCTGCTTGGTGTACAGCTGTTTTAGGGAGGTTGTGTGTTCTGTCACAATTACACAGTTCAGAACCTCTTTTCATAGTGCTTTATTATGATCTTGAGCTTGTTTGTTTTTATTACAGTTTTTAAATGATAACCTAAACTTTTAAGAAAAGAGGAAAAACCTCTGTAGTCTCTTTTTCTTCCCATTATTAAAGTATCCTTTGCAGTTGGCTCAATTTTAAATTCACATACATGCTCTCAAAACATAAGTTCCCAAAGCATGTCTGCAACTTGAGTTCATCTGACCTGATCAGAAAGGAACAGCTGACTTCCACTGCAAAGTGAGTGATACACTGTAGCCTAGGCAAAAAGTAAGAATTTGTGCTCACCCCTTTTAAACCTTGTACCAGTTAAAATGCTGCCTACCTGATAACTACCAGCAGAGGGAGCCCATTTATTTCAGATGAACTGAATGAATGGGGAATAAGTAGTTCTACTTTCTTTCCAGAAATTTTCCAATGCCAAAACCAATGTGTTTAAAACAATTGATGTAGACATCAGTGAAATGATAATTTAAATGCAACTTTTAGAATCTAGACATGGAACAGTCTAGATTCCGTACATCAAATATTTGGCTGACAGTACTTGATTCCCTGCTGATTACCAGCATTAAAAAGCAAGTGCCATGCTTTGTGTTCTTGCTCTGGTGGTGAGCCTGGATCGTTACTCTTTTGATTTCCACCATGGTGAGGGAAGTGCAGAGGGTTTGGATGTGCTGCAACCTGTAGCAGCGGTTTGGTGGAGATGCTGTGTATCAGTGTGTTCTGCTGGCTTCTAAGTATTTTAGATATAAACATATCTAAGTATTTTGAAATCATATTAGTGATGCGGTGCTGTTACTTTTACATTCCACCTAACTTTATCCTTCTTGTATTCTGCCTTTTTCTAATTATCTGATGCTATGTTATTCCTTTTTTGTTTAAAGCTTTTTTTATGCTTTCAAGATGATGGTGGGTCTACATTATGTTAATAACAATGAGTTTACGTTTTGCTCCTAATTTCAGTGTTTGTGCAAATTTTATGTCAGTGCCGAACATCTCTGATCTGAAATTCATGTGGACATGCCAGTTTCTTAAAATACTGATACATTTTTTTAATATTTTACATGTAGAGACACAGCTAGTAGTGAAAGTGAGGACAGCTCAGATGAAGAGTTAATTGGTCCTTCCATGCAATCCCAGACTTCTGTTCAAGGTCCAGTTGGTGGTGATGATGATGACGATGATGAAGAATTCATTGGGCCACCGCTTCCACCTGGCTTCAAGGATAGTGATGATGATGATACAGAAGAGGAAGATAATGTAAGTATTTTGTCTCTCTTTACACAGAATCACAGAATTGAAGGGGTTGGAAGGGACCTTGAAAGATCATCGGGTCCAACCCCCCTGCCAAAGAAGGTTCCTTAGAGCAGGCTGCCCAGGTAGGTGTCCAGATGGGCCTTGAATATCTCCAGAGAAGGAGACTCCACAACCTCCCTGGGCAGCCTGTTCCAGTGCTCTAATGTTTAATGTTTTAACATTTTGAGTAAACTCTAATTTGTTAGTATACTTTTTCCTTTATGACTGAAATTTCAGGTGAAGCATGACTGTTGTTCGAAATAAAGTTTTTCTGTATTTTTTTCCTAATGATTATTCAACAAACACAATGATTTTCATTGAAAAATACTCATGTTTTTAAAACATGCTGATGATGAATTTCAGTTGAGATTCATATATTTCATTTACTCCTTTTTTTTTTTTTTTTCCACGGTGTAAAAGAACTATACAAATAAATATTTTATATAAATAGTTCAGTTTTCTTGTTTCCTAGTGCACGTGTAGAATTTTTGTCAGGAAAGAAGAGGTATAGGTAGACTTGAGTCTAGGGAAAATCATTATGCCATAATTACTCTGAGAAAATGTACAGATGTAGATGAGGGGTGTTTTTTCTGTGTGTTTGTTTGCTTTAATGTTTTGCTTAAATGCCAGGCTGGTTTGTTCGAGCATATATAGGCTCTTTTCTTGTATGTTAGAAGTAAGGAGAAAACCAGAAACAGCCTAACATGGATACTGTAGATACTGAGTTGATAAACTTCTAGCTAAGTGGAAAGGCATTTAATAGTTTGATCTGCTTTCTCCAAACATTCATGGATTGAATGTATCATGGCAGTGGATGTTGTGTGATGGTTTCTGTGCTTTTTTTTTTTGTATCAGTAATGATATAAGTCCTATAAAAACAGCTTTGCTAATACTATTCTGAACCATTTGGTAGCAGACAAAACTGCTATGTCCTATTGAACCAATACAAGTGTAATCCCCCAAAAAACAACTCTCAGATGTCTCAGGTATTTCTTGCCAGTTCCTCTTCATTTCTGGCCAGGTGTTCATCTTCTTTTTTCTTTTCCTGTAAATTCTTACCTTGAATCACCTCAAATATAATATTAAAGTTTAGAATTCTGACTGAAAAAAAATGAGAAAAGAATGAGAGAAACTTCTTAATCAGTAACTTACATGATTGCTAGAGGGAGCCTAACCTTGTATGTTAATTTTTCGCAGTGTTTAGTGTCCCCCCTCCCCACCCCGCCCTGGGAGATGAGTGGTGGGAAACTCTGATGCTTGAGTATTCCTATTGCTTTGTCTGATCTACTTACTGATTTTCTTAATTATCAAACTGTACATTGTGGGTCCATATCCCCTGTGATCTCATCTGTACCCTATGCATGACTCATTTTGTCTTAGGGAACCAGCTGTTGATAGATACCAAGCTATCTTTGAGAATGTTGTAAGTCATAAGTGCCTTAAGTTAACTTATGACTTGTATCTGTATCAGGAATCCCATTTACTTCAAGCTGTTAATGGCACTGCAGAGTCAGGCAATATTCCTGAGAACATCATAGATCAGCATGTTTTGGTTGCTGTGGGTCATGTCATAATGAAGTCACTACTTCTTTTCAGTCAGATTTCATCTTTTCTACCACCTCAGATGTGCTTGTTTGAACGTTTTTAGCTAATAGTAAGATCTGAAAATATAGTACTTTATCCAGAAATTTTATCAAACATGCATTTCTAACAGATAATCAGAAAAACAGTAACTGTCTTGAAAAGTACTTAAATGTATTGATGTTGAAGGAAGTGTTTCCTCTTTTTCAGTTTGGGCTTGAAATAATTTTTAGCCTTTTTCAAGATCCAGCACGTTAGTGTGGGTTGTGTAAATCCTCTGTATTGTCTTTTTTTTCAAATTGACATGAATCTGGGTTCGCTACAAAGAACAACAATATCTGAAAGTATCTATTAATATCTGGTAACTTTGTGCATGCATACACTAGGAAGTGGTAAATCTCAAAGTATGCTTGTTCTGCACAGGTGTTCTGTTTGTTCTTTGGGGCCTCATCAGAATGCCCTTCTGCATTACAGGTCCCCCTAGCTGTCCCTATTTCTCTTCGTAGAGAAAATAATCTTTTGCTTTGCTGTCAGCACTTTTGAAGCTTGTAACTGCATATAACACTGAGTAATTGAATCCACACATAAAGAAGCAACCAGGTTTGGGAACAGGGTCCTGCAGGTATCTTTAATCTTTGGCAGAGTAAAAGTTCTCCAAGATGCTCAAAGGAATTCAGTGTCTATGACACTAAAATAAAACAGTGTCAGTGTAAACTTGAAATCACAGCAAATCCTCTCACTTAAACCCAAAATTTAAACTCCTGTCTGCTAATATTTCACAGAAATATTACAAAAAACTTTGCATCAGAAATCTCTTATGGCTATTTATTCTTACATGTTCTTTATTATTAATTGCTTTGTTTCAGTGTTAACTTGTTTACATCAATTTATTTTTTAAATGAAAAAAGGTACATTGCTGTGGAATGCTGGGATTTATAGTTTCCTTGTCATGGCCTTAATTTAAGGAATTAAATTGATTTCTAAACTTACTGTATTTAAATTGTTCTTTCTAATAATCAAACGCATTTTGTATGTGTTGCAAAATCATGGAAGATTTTGCTTAAAAACAAGTCACACTTATCAGATTAACTACAGTAATTGTGGTTAGTTTTTATATACCTAGATTTTTCTTTTAACTTATGCCAGAAATTACTAGAGTTTTCTTTTGAAAGTGAGAATTGATGCAAATAAAGATTTCCCCTGGTACAAATGGTGCAAGTGGTGCAAATAAAGATTTTTCCTGGTAGTCTGTTATGGAGACATCACTTTCTGCAGTTGGCAAAAAGCGTAATTGCCGTAATTCAATTCTGAAATTTTAATTTAAAAAAAAATAATAATAATAATAAAAATATATATATATATATTTACACTTCATGTAAGTGTGTTGGCAGTGGTCTTTCCCACCCATAGTGAATTAGGAGAATTCTGTGGTTGTGTTGAAGATAAATTTTACCATATTGGTCAAGTAAGCTATGATGTAAATACAATAAATGTTCAAGATCTGTTTTATTGCATCATCAGTGAAAGGCTGGCATCCTCTGACAACTCTTTTGTGAGTACTTTTTGTCGTCTGATTTTATTAAATTCACAGGAATCAGAAGTCTTTTATATATACAGTACTGTTCCAGTTTGTGGTATAATTATCTCTTCCATATCAGTGATGAGTGCTATATGAATAAATGCAGTCACGTTCAAACCTCAGATTAGTGCCAAGTGGTAGCAGACTCCTTCATTCATTGATACTCCTGGATGTGTCCTGTGGATAGGTCCTGTGGGAAAAAGTAACTAAATGGTAAGTACTCATTTAGGTAGTATTGCAGTGTTTGTTTAATAATTGAGAAATTATGGGAAGGTTGATAAAAATCTTTTAAGTGTTAAAAACAAATATATTTTTGGAAATAGGTATGTTTGACATAACAGGGTGAAGTTTTCAGTAGTAGAGGTGAAGTAGAGTTTTCAGAGTATGAAGTGAAGAGCAAGTTATCAGCAACAAAACAGAAAATACCTGTTTCTTGTTAATCTGTGCGTTAGTGTGCTGTGTACCTGTCTGTTGTCCTCTAGCAAAGAAGGCTGTACCTTAGTAAGGCTTTGCAATTTGAAATCTCTAAAATGCAATGCACTATACTATAACTGTGCTGTAACCTTGTGTCTGAAGTCCCAATAAGATATGTAGTGTTTTGTTGGTTTTTTTACGTAATTGTTTGCATAAATTTCAGATGTGTGGGTTCTGAGCACTGAGTATAATTTATTTTCATTATCTCTCTCCAAAGGGAGAGTCTAGTGAAATACTTGCTTTAAATCTGTAAATTTTGCAGGCATGCAATGGTGAAAACAAAGTGCAGAAACAGATTTTACTTCTGCCTATCTTTCTCAGTGTTTGTCAATTTTCACTTTGTTTGTTGATTGACTGTACTAATTTCTAGTACATGGTATTAGTTTAAATCTATATTGTTTATTTATATATATATAATACTATATATAATGTATATTAATATACATTATATATTAATATTATATATATAAATATAATTACATATATTTTAATATAAAAGTATAATATATATATAAAATATTTGACTAACACTACAGCTGTCTTGATAAAGTGCAGTAACTGGAAACCAGAGTTAAAAGACCCCAATGAAAAGTTTCAGACAGAAAAGTAACTTGCAGACTTGTGTGATTTAAGTTTGTCTGATCTTAAGACAATAGTTACAAAACAGTCTAGAACAGATTTGGTTGAGAATAAGCAGAGCGGCAGAAATATGAGACTTGTGGGTTTTAAGTCTAAACAGTTAATTTATAACTGGGAAGACTTTGTGTCAGCATGGATGCCAGAGGCCTTTGGGGTCTAGAGCCTCTCCTTACTTCTGCTCATGAACTCAGTTATTTTCTTTCCTCTGAAGGGAATAAGGAAACAGCTGTGCTGTCCTGATTTCCTGTTGATCGATTGGTGATCACAGTACGATCCTATGAGCCCCCCTAAAAGCAGGTGTTGATGTTACGAGGACTCTGTGATGCCTTTTTTCTTGATTGTACTTCAGTCTGTGGTTGGTATGCATGGGGGCAGAATCGGGAGAGAAGAGATGGAAAGCTCCATTGAATAATTTTGTTTTGTTTCCAGATGGATTGTGAGACAGTCTCTCTTTCGTTATGGTATTTTTTTATAACTTCAAAACACAAGCATCCATATTTTTGACCCTGAAAGAAACATTTTTTTTCTTTATAAGTTATATGAATTGGAGCTCTGTACTCTGGAGTCTTGTAAACTTTGTGCAACAGATAAAAGTGCATCATAATAGTGGCTTCGCCCTGGTAGCTTGCTGTTGTTTCTCACGCTTAACTTTAGATGTGTTTTTCATTATAGGAGATTATTTATTTTTTTC